TTCTGCAAATAATAAAAATATATATTTCTGTATTATTGTATGCCTGTCTCTCTTTATTTTACCATTCTTAAAAAAAACATGTCAAAATGTTTGACTTTCCATTGTTTTTTTGGGGTTTTTTCGCAAACCAGTTAAATTAGTTAATAAAAAAAATAGACAATGTGCACTCCAAATGTTTGAAAAGTAACAGTCTGACAGCCAACTACCAAAGTAGAAAATAAGTTTTCGCTTTTATTGGAAAACCCATTTGACTGGGAATTTGCTGAGAAAAAATAAACGAAGAGGTGCAAACAATGTGTGAATGCTTAAATTAAATGCGCTTTTATTTGTTGGGAATTATGAAAATGTAATGGGAGAGAGATTTTTGTGAACTTCTCAAAGTTTTGCATTTATGAATTGAAATTATATGGGAAACTAACATTTTATGAACTAATTATTACCAATGGAATGGTGGAGATTATCTTCATGGATTAAAATTCACTTTCAATATTCACTGAATTATCCACAGTTTGGAAAGCCCCTCAAATACCATTTAAACAAATAACAATTTAACAAATTAAAGAGTATCCGTCGGTTTTGCCGACAGAAGTATACCCTCAGCCAATGTACGATTATTTAAAAATATTTTGCCTGCTGTTATGATTATTCAAATTTTTAACCCTTATGGAGTAGGTTCCGAAGGAATGTACCAATATTGATAAAAGTGTTGAATATTGTGATTCTTTGTGAGTGAGGTACCAGAAGGGGTTCACAGATATATATCGTCCACATAACAGATTTTGTTTGTATGTGTGAACTTTGAAGAGTGTTGAATGGTTATTTCGCTTTCTTTGATCGTTTTGTTTTTCATAATCTTGAACTCTATGAGCAGGTAGCAAATAAGAATGGTCCGATCTTTACCATCTTTATAACAGATATTATGTTGTTGGAAATATTGAGATATAGCAAGTCTTGAACGTAATCGGATGTTAATTTCGCTTTTTATTTAAGGCTGAAAATTAAAAATATCCAAAATCTTGAACCTTTGTGTGGGAGATACTTGATGGAGTGGACCGATATTGTCCATTTTCTGACGCAAATATTAGGATTTGCAAAGTTGGAACAAAAACGGATTATTGCTTCTCTTTCTCTGCAGAGAATGTTTTTTTTTTTTTTTTGAAAATTTCGAACTTTTGTGAGGAAGGTACTTGATGGAGTTGACCGATCTATTCCATTTTCGCACCAGATCTTAGGTTAATGAAATTATTGGAATGTGTGCAATTTGAAGACAATCGGACCTATAATAATAATATATATATAAATATATATATATATAAGAGTTGAAATTATTCAAAATTTCGACCTTTTATGGGAGAGGTACCTGATGGTGTGGACCGATATTGTCCATTTTCGCACCTGACATAGAACTGCCATTGATATTAGGATTTGCAAAGTTGTAGAAAAAATATTTTTTGAAAATTTCGACCTTTTGTGGGAAGGTACCAGAAGAAGTGGACCGATAAAATCCATTTTCACCCCCAGACCTTGGGTTAATGAAATTATTGGGATGTGTGAATTTTTAAGACAATCGGACTCTTATATCACATTTTATAAGAGTTGTAATTATTCAAAATTTTGACCTTTTGTGGGGGTGGTACTTGTTGGAGTTGACCGATATTATCCATTTTCGCACTGATGCAAATACTAAGATTCGCAAAGTTAGAGCTAAATCGGATTATCCTTTCTCTTTCTGTGCAATAAATTATTTTCTTGAAAATTTTGACATTTTGTGTGGAAGGTACCAGAAGGAATGGACCGATAGTGTCCATCTCCGATCTCGATCTTGGGTTAATAAAAAATATTGGGATTTGCGAAATTTGAAGACAATCGGACTCTTGTAATTATTCAAAAATTTTGACCATTTGTGGGGGAGGTAGTTGATGGAGTGGACCGATATTATCCATTTGCACACCTGACCTAGCACTGACGAAAATATTAGGATTTGCAAAGTTGAAGCAAAATCGGATTATCCTTTCACTTTCTGTGCAAAAATTATATTTTTTGAAAATGTCGACCTTTTGTGGTGGAGGTACCAGCAGGAGTGGACTGATATTGCCCATCTCCGAACTCGATCTAAGTTTGACAAAAATATTACGATGTCCCTAGTGTGGACCAAATCGGATACTCCCTTCGAGAGTTATCGTGCGCACCAGCCAGACGGACGGACATCGCTAGATCGACTCCTAATGTTCTGAAACGGATTTGGTAAAAAGAGACTAGGCACGCTTCGACCCTATCAAATGATATATAACCTCTGTAGCCATATGGCTGAGGGTATAAAAAATGTGGCTTTAATCATCCAAGTACCTAACATCAGGAGGTACTGCTATATGGGGTTATTAGACAACGTGTATCTACAAGGTGACATAAAAAACTGCAACAAAGTCAAACGACATAATTTTTACATTCCTTGAATGAAAGCAAAAAATGTCGAAAATATCATCAAATTTTAGAATAAGTTTAGATTGGTTGGAATTGGTCACCTTTGGCACGATTTATGGCCTTCAAACGGCCTAAATGTTGTTCCGCTGTATTTTAGCCCATTCCGCTTGCTTGAGGTGATCGACACTTTGGTATTTTTTAGAGCCAACCTTGCTTTCCAAAATACTCCAGACACAATAGTCCAACGGATTGGTATTCGGAGATTTTGGTGACCGTTGTGCCCTGGAAATGAAGCGAGGAACCTCATTTAGTAACCATTTTTGGGAGACGCGTGCTGAGTCCTGTTGGAATGTCCAAGGTCTGCGGCTTTAATACACCCTCCAGAATATTTTCGCGATAATATTCGGCGTTTATTTTGATGCCACGGTCGATAAATACGAGCGGAGAGCGACCATCGGCTGTTATGGCGGCCCACACCATCACCATGGCCGGCGCTTGAGTTCTGGTGGCCAACCGAAGGTGCACATTTTCAGCTGACCTCTTTGGAGAGTAAACACGATAATTTTGTTAAGTTTACAAACTGCTGGACAGCCAATGTTTTCTCATCGGAGAAAACCAAATTCGGCAGTTCACAACTTTCAGCCAAGCGCAGCAACTCTTTAGCTCTTTTGAGTCTATTTTCTCTTTCTAGCGGTGTCAAATCTTTTACTTTTTGGAATTTCAATGACTTTACCCCGAGCTCATTTGTCAATATTTGCCGAATGGAATATTGCGATATATTCAGCTCACGAGTCAATTTTCGGCCACTGCGACGCGGGTTTCGATCAAGTCGCTTCTTTACTTTTCGAACAATTTCTGCTAATGTTGCTGTTTTCTTCCGTCCACTTCCTTGACGTCGGGCTTCGCTACCAGTATCACGCTAACGGGCGATGGGACGAGACACAAAGGATGGCCCATGACGCTAAATATGTAAAATGTACGGATTCCGAAGAGTCTTACTCAGAAAATTTCCAAATGTGTGGAAAAGGGGGGAACTTGTCCCCTATACTTTGGCTACTTTGCAATGGGTACCTTCAAGATGTCGATACACATGTCTTCTTTTTTTAGCTCAACTTTCATAATCTGCTGGATTTTTCCCATAATTATTGGAAAAACTGAATTTTGTCGCACAGTCGAAATATATAACGATGCACCAAATTTGGATCAAATCGAATATCAAATGATATATAACCTCTGCAGCCGTATGACTGGTGGCTTAAACAATTCAAGACTACAAATCGCCTTTTAAAATTTAATATTCCCAAAATCTAAAACTTGTAACTTTTTATACCCTACAACAATTATGTAACACCTCTAAAAATATTGATTTCCCACATAGGAAAGTATATATGGATCTTCCTATCTCGCCGAGCTGAGTCTTTACTAGCTATGTATGTCCGTCCGTCCGTCGGTCCATGTTAATTTGTAATCGAGCTACAGGTCGCAATTATGGCCCGATTCTCACGAAAATGAAAATAGAGGTGGTGTTAGGGTCAGAATAGAACCGTATTGTTTTTGGAGATGACCGCAAAATATTTAGGGGTTGAAATGGACCAAAAAGAGAAAAAAAGGCTTGATTTTGCAATTGATTTACAGGCCACAATTATAGACCAATCGGCGCGGAATTTTGCATGGAGTTAGAGTTTAGGACTGGACAGAAGCGTACAAATTTGGATGGTCATCGGACCACATTTAGCGGGTAACATAGACCATATTTTTTTTTTTTTGTAAAAAATAAAAAAATTTCCACTGAACCGCAAATATTTTTTATCCTGGCGAAATCACAAATACACGAAAATGTCATTTCTGAGCGCTACATTGAGCTCATATCCAAAATCTCACTTTTATAGCTCTCAGATATCAAAGAAGGGAATGTTAGTTAGATCGCTGATAAGTCAAGAACAGCTGGACTGATTTTCACAATTCTCATTAATTCGACCATTCCGAATTGCCAGAAAAGGACAACATAAAAGGAAATCGCGTAAAAATATGCCAATAAAAAAGTGAATATTTTTTGTTACATTTTTTTTTTTAAATTTTCGTCATATTTTTTTATCGCATGCGATTTTTTCAATTTGACTTAGAATTTTGAATTGTTAATTTTTAAAGTTTTTCTACACCCCCAACACTATTGTTGAGGGTATTACATACAGGTCGCAATTATCGTCCGATCCTCACGAAATTTTGCATGGGCTAGCGTTAGGGTGAGAATTAAAGCCTACTGTTATAAAGATTTAAATTCAGCGGTTCAAATGGAACAAACAAAAAAATTCCTGAAAGAGGAAAGAAGTCGAGCATTTTGGATGGCCATTGGATTATATTTAGCTGTAAAATGGACCATGACTTTTGTGAATTTTTTTCGAATACATAACAACACGGCGAAGTGCAGGCCTCTATGTTTGAAGGGGGCTTCAAATATATTCTAGTGTTGTAGGGTATCACATGGTCGGTCCCGCACGACTATAGCCTTTGCTTACTTGTTTTAAATGTGAATTGATTTTATAACTTTTTATAAATGTTCTCATTTTATTTCGTTTCAGATATAGAGAAAGAAAAACAACAATGCAGCTTTAAGGAGCAAACCAAAAAACAATTGTGGTAAGTATTGAAAATTATTATTTCTTTTTTGGAGCCACTGTGCAATAATTGAAATTATAAATAGCGAACTCACCACTGTTCTTGCCCCTCCAAAAAAAAAAAAAAAAAAAAAAAAACCTCTGAAAACAAAACAAACTTCACATTAACTGGGCCTTTGGTAAACAAGAGTGTCAGTTAGCTGTTGGTGTTATCCTGTCACAGCGTGTGTGCTTCTCTCCTCTTTTTTTTTTTTTTTTGGTTGCAATTTTTTTGTGTATTTTCTTCGTTCGATTTTTACCTTCATTTTCACACGTATCAAGTTTGTGTTTTAAGTCTAAGGTTTCATTGCCAACACCACCAACACCATCGCCGCCACAGCAACCACTGGCATTGCTGTTCTTTTTTTCTTTGGCTGTCGCATCTTTAAAGTTTGTGTCTTAAGTCTTTTGTTTCATTTCACACCAATTGAAATTTTGTGTTCATTTCATACAGACAATGTTGTTTCCGAAACACTAGGTGTATTGGTTATTTTTGTTGTTGTTGGTGGTGGTGTTGGTTCTTGGTTCTGTAAATTTTCAAAATAAATAATTAAATGCAACAACTCATGTGGCGGCAAATGAAATTTCAATTCGTGGAGGGGGGAAGGCTAAGTTCTTTCAATCATTTGGAACATAAGAAGGAACTTTTAGGAGGTATTTTATGTTTAGAGGTCCTAGAAGAGGTGTTATATGTCTGGGAGACCTAAAGGTGGTTTTCTATATACTAGCCTATGTATAACCTCTGACATTTTTCAAATTCCAAAAGACACCTTGAAGGTCTTACTCTTAAACCAATCATGTAGAGGTAAATGAAATTTATTTCGTCGGGGGGTTCTTCCAATCTTTGAAAGCGAAAGAAGGTTCTACAGGGGGCCCTGGAGAATATAAAAATATTTTTACTACCCTTGAAAAACGTCTAATTCCAGAAGACCCCTTCAAGATCTTTCTTTAATGAAGACCTCAGGATGATGTGTATCTGTAGAAGAGTATTTTATTAGCATTGAAGACCTGTTCTAACGATTGAAACAATCGTCTAAAAACCTCTGGAAAGTATTCTACGACCCTAAGATTCTAGTCTATGAAATACTCTGGGAAATTGCCGAATTCCAGAAGACCCCTTCTTCCTTTTAAACAAAAGGAACTACAGCAGGATTTTTATGAATACGGGACCTAGAGAAGGTCTTCTATTTATAGGGGACTTTTCTGTGTATAACCCATTTAAAAGAATACCTTGGGAAATTTTCAATTTCCATTCAGAAGACCCCTTTCTCTAAAGAAGACCTCCGGATGTTGTCCATCAGTAGGAGACCCAGAGTTCAGTAAAACATTTTTTATACCCTCCACGATATATAGTATGAAGGGTATATTAAGTTCGTCATTCCGTTTGTAACTCCACGAAATAATAATTTTAAACCCAACAAAGTATATATATTCTTGATCAGCGTAGCCCTGTCCGTCCGCACGTCTGTCCGTCTGCTATAATCACGCTAGAGTCAAAACAATTTAAGATTGGAAGCTAGAACTTTGCACAGATCTGTTTTTTGTATGCAGGCAGGTCAAGTTCGAAAATGTGCTGTATCGATCTACGATATCCTATAGTCCCCATATAACTTTGTGGGTACTTTACACCCTGGAAGATAAATTTGTATATAGGTCCACTATACCGATCGATACCCCCACATATTCGGTATTTTTAAGTTTTTAGTCACAACTTTCAATGGAATTGTCTGAAAATCCACACAAGGAGCTCCTGCCAAGTAATTTACCCCTTTGGAAGGGAATTGTCTATATAGGCCCACGATATTGTATATCCCCCATATAATGGTACCCCCTCCCATTAAGCGGTATTTTAATGATTTTAGCGAAATTTCTCAATGGATTTGTCTGAAATTCTCACCAGGAGTTCATTCTGAGTATATTACCTCCAGAAAGAGAATTGTCTGTAATGGTCCACGATATCGTATATCTCCCATATAACGGAACCTCCCGATATTCGGTATTTTCATCATTTTAGCCATATTTTTCAATGGAATTGTCTAAAAATCCACACAAGAAGATCTCTCTTCGTATTTGAAGTTCGTAATGGGTGCTTCAAGTTATGACGGAAAATTGTCTTTGTATAGACACCATATAACGGTACCTCCATATATTCGGTATTTTGATGAATTTAACGACATTATTAACCGGAATTGCCGTATTTGAAGTTCCGAACCGGTACTATAACCTTCGACAAAAAATGACTGAAGAAACATGAATGAAGAAACACTTCTTTGTATAGATATTTTGGACGATATTTTTTAGATTTTGGACGATATTTTTTTGGATTTTTCAAGATTCCTTCCTTAGCTGTTTTATTTTTTGTAAAGTAAATTTTTGGTATTGAAAACCTCTTCTATCCCTTCTATAGGTCTTTAATGCTAAAAAACGATTGGTCTTCTACAGGTGAAAATCATTCGGATGTTTTTTTTTTTACAGGAAATCTCTAAAGAATATTCTATGCATTAAAGACCCCTGAAAGTTTTATTTAAAGACTTTAACAGAGTCTTCTGGAATTTAAAAAATTTTAAAAATATTCTATTAAAGAAAAAGGTATAGAAAACCACTCCTAGGATCCTCACACATACAAGACATCGCCTAGCTCATCTGTTCATAGTAGATCTCCTGTAAGTCCTTCATTCCGGGGATTTTCTTTGAAGAAAATCTCTAGAGGGTTTTGAATGTGTTGTCTAAAGAGTCTTCTACGACTCTAAGAACTACTCTCCCAAATGTCTGCTTCCCTATCCCCCTTTGCCCCTAAATGGACCAGAACTAATTCCTGAGGCAACTTTTTTGGAAGAACAGCTTTTGGTTTGTCTAGAACTAAATAAAAAAGGTCACTACTTTCTGAGTCCTGTTCAAGAGATAGAACAGGTCTTCAATACTAACAAAATTATTGAATGATGAGTCGGTCTTCTACAGGTGGACATCATCCGGAGGTCTTTTTTTAAGGGAATCTCTATAGATTCTTCTATGTGATAATGACCTCATTTCTGTTTCCCCATCACCCTTCGGAGGTTTTTTATCTCTATAGAATCTTCTATGCATTAAAGACCTCTAAAAGTCTTTTTTTTAGGGAAGATCTTGACAGAATCTTCTGGAAGTTGAAAATTCTAAAAGGGTGTTCTATTATAGGAACCCCAAACACAGAAAACTACCAATAGGTCCCAAACCTATAAAATATCTGCTCTAGCTCTTCTATTCATAATACCCCTCCCGTAAGTTCTTTATTCCGGTGGTCTTCTTTAAAGGAAATCTCTAGAGGGTCTTCTATGCATTGAAGAGCTTTGGAAAGTCTTCTACGATTTCAAGAACTCCTCACCCTCATTTCTGTTTCTCCATCCCCTTTTGGACCAAAATGGACCAGCTCCATAAGTCATAATTTAATTCCCTACTACTGCTACTCTTTTGTTTAGGACCAAAAAAGAAACTCACTTCTTTTTTAGTAGAACCTCACTTCTTTTTAAAGACCTCTGAAAGACTTCTTTGGAGGAAGATCTTCACAGAGTCTCCTGGAAATTGAAAATTCTAACAGACATTCTATTAAAGGAAAACCATACACAGAAAATCACCCCCAGGTCCGCCACAAATAGAAGATGGAAGTAGACTTCCTGTAAGTCCTTCGTTCCGGGGTCTTCTTTAAAGGAAATCTCTAGAGGGTCTTCTATGCATTGAAGACCTTTGGAAAGTCTTCTGTGATTCCAAGAATTCCTCACCCTTTTTTCTGTTTCTTCATCCCCTTTTGTCCTAATTGGACCAGCTCCATAAGTCATAATTTAATTCCCGGCCTGGCGCAACTTTTTGGAGGAACAACTAGAACAAAAGAAATTCTTTTCTTTTTTAGGAGAACTTCCGGAGAACTTTTTTAAATGAGCTATCTATAGCAACTTCAATGCCTTAAAGAACTCTGAAAGTCTTCTTTTAAGAAAGACCTTCATCGAGTCTTCTGAAAATTGAAAATTCTGAAAGAAATTCTATTAAAGGAAACCCATACGCAGAAAATCATCCCTAGGCCCACCACACATAGAAGACATCTTCTAGCTCTTCTATTCTAAGAAGACCTCCTGTAAGTTCTTCGTTCCGGAGGTCTTATGTAAAAAAAATCTCTTGAGGGTTTTCATTGCGCTCCCACATACACTTCTGTTCCCCAATGGATCAGCTCCATGGTCCATAATTTAATTCCGGCCTGAGGCAACCTTTTTGGAGGAACAGCTACTGTTTTCTTTGGAACCAAAAAAAATACTAACTTCTTAAGGCAACCATACCATAACAACAACAACAACAAAATGCGCTAACTGCAATTGGAAAAATAGCAACGTATACTTGATTTCAACTCTTAACCTGACATATGTGGGTTGTTGTTGGTGACGGTTGTCTGCATATTTTCGCAGCAAAAAAAAAAACCGAACAGCAACTGCAGTTGTTTGCATGTCTATGCCATAAGAATGGCATATTGGCATGGAAAAACAACAACAACAACAAAACGATCAATGAGCTTAACAAGCCAACAAAGGCTGTGAAGAACAAACAGCCTTAGAGCAAGAACTCAAGGCAGCAGCGGCAACAACTATTGGCATTAGCTAGCATTGTTGCTGTTGTTGTCATGACCGTGTTGTTGTGCGGCTTTTGTGTTGTCGTTTTTTGTTTTGTCGATTTTTTTTTTTTTTTTTTTTTTTTGCAAAAATGAAGTGTCAATTTCATTTAGCGCCCGTTTGCCATTTTCATTCTTTGGTTTCGTTTTTATAGTTGGCAAACAGGCAAGCCGTCACTCAGTCAGTTCGTCAGTCAGTCAGTCACCCAGGCAGCCACTCCATGCATCCGTCCCTCCATCAATTTCATTGTCGATGCTAGAAACATGCATTTGATTCATTTTTGTTCTCTTTCGATTATTGAAAAAACGAAAGCGCAAAAAACCGACTCTGGCGTCATCTGGCGTTAGCTAATTGC